GACTGCTTGGGGGAAGAAACTGTTTTTGAATCTATCGGTCAGCCTTCTGATACTGCGAAACCTCCTACCAGAACCCAGGGGTGAAAACAGATTGTGGCCAGGGTGAATCGGGTCCCAAAGTATAGCTTGAGCCCTGGGGGGGGACACGCGCCCAAGTTTTAAATATTCTCGAGAAACCCACACCCTCGAGATCTGTAAAGCTTTCCTTCATCTGCCTCCAAAAACAGACAGATTCCTCTTGATAAGTCTTGGAAGAGAACTGAACTGGTCATGAAGTGTCACAGTCAGTCACCGACAGGCCACTTTTTCCCACGGACGTGTTGAAAGCAGTCCAGCCTCTGGGTCTAAGAAATAAACCACAGATCAAGCTGTTCCTGAGTGGCGTCATACTCTTCCTCAAAAAAGACACTGCTAACTTGACCTCTTCAGAAGGCACTTCCTATCCGATGGCCGGAGTGTGAACTCCTACACCACCTGTTTCTTTAGCAGCAGTGGACCATTTACATCACAACAAGCTGACTGGCTTTCTTAAAGATCATATTACCTAACCAGGCCCCAATTCGACATTACTTTGTATATATTCCCAAACAGGTACTCACTGAATAGGTTGGCTATTGCTAATACAAGTAGTTCAGGTGGGGACCTGCGTCAGCATGTGTACGCTGCAAAGGAACAATAGGTGTATTCCTGAAAAGAGAAAAGAGCTCACACCTGAAGAAGGCTCCATGGCAGAAACGTTGTGTTTTCTTTCCTCTTTAGAGCAGGGAAAAAACCTAGTTCTTGTTCCTTTGCAGCCTAGGCGTGCTGACGCATCTACCCACATGAAACATTTTTCCAATATTTATATTTCCTGGAGCCGACCGCGTAAATTGCGAGTCCAGGGTACGGAGTATATTATATGAGTATATTTTATAAAATGATTCGAGGGAGGACTTGCGTCAGCCGGAAGTTGAGTCCACTCTGAAAGACAGAAAGACCAGCGCAGTAGGATAACACTAGCAACGCTGTAGGGTTTCTTTTTTTTTTACTAGACAAACATAGATTAAAAAAAAACAAAAAAAACGAGCTGTAGATGAACAGAGCGAAGAGAAAGCAAAAGATTGTCAGCCTAGGACTTTCACAGCAATGTCTAACCCCAAGACATCGTAAGAAAAAGGCAGTTCAAACCATTTGATTTAAAAATATTTTAAAATTGCGCAACGTGCCAGATTTATTGATTTCTTTGGAAAGGGCATTCTGCAACCCAACAGTAGGTCTTTTGGACATACGCAAGCCATTCCTCTGTAGACCAAACAGCACGTCTTAATGTAATTAGACAAATACGCAGTAATGTAATTTGAAATCAGCAATCAGAAGACTTGAGGTTAAAGGTAAGATGTTAAAATCACGAAACTCAACCGGAGACAAATGCATGTATATCCCTAAGGCCAGAATAATATGTGGGATATTCAGAGACTCTTAATGATCCTATTTGTCCCATTCAGGAGGTTCAGAAAGCTTTCTTCTATCTCAGTAGTTGTACTGACACCTGCTGGACAAACTCGAGCAAATATAGTGCCCTGTGATGAAAATCGTCTACCTTCTTTTCAGCATTTTCCTTTATAGTAGGGTGAGTAAAATATAAAAAAAAGATTAACAGTGACTTACTTTAACTACCCTGTGCGATGTATCGATCCTTTAAATAGCAACTCCCATCCGCTGCTGTGAGACTCACCCTCTTCAAGAAACTACGACCCCCAGAATCCTCAGCGTTAAAGGAACTGTGGAAGGGGAAGTCGCCCTCGTTCCCAGCATTCCGCGGGCGAGTGTGAATGCTGAAGTATGAGGCAAGATGGCAGCGAACCCGAGCGCAAACAAACCCGTCTTTGATTGTCCGACGTGGTAAGACGCATGATAATGAGATGAAAAATAAGCACAGATTGTTTTAATTTGAGGGAGAAAATGGGTGGGTTTGTAGCGTTTGAGGAAGATACTGCGTAATAATCACTGGTCTCCACCCGAATTTTGTCGGGAAGGTCTTAAGGCTTGTGCTCTGCACACACCAGGGCAGAAGCTGTAGTGTGATTAGATTAATCTTTATACAGTGTGCTAATGCATCCTTTAGAAGAGTGATTCGTCTTTCGGATTACATTATCTAGATCCCCTGAGTTTTGAGATGGGATCCTTTATTTTAACAACACACGGTCTTCTCCACCCCCCTGTTCTCCCGGTGTGTTCTTGGGTGGGCGTGATATCTAATCGCGGGTGAGGATGCAACTGTTAAAAAAAAAAGTTTCAACTTCGAAAAACTGGCACAGAAAAAAAGCATCTTTTATACGACGGTGGCTTGTTTTTCGTGTATCCTATAAAATCGCGATGATTGATTGCCTTTAACTCGCAATATAGAGACTCGATCGTTAGAAACGGCTGCTGGTAGGTTCTCGATCTGCTTCTCGCGGCCCTCTTGGTAAATTTTTGCTTCATTTTTTGTGTACGAGAATCCGTAATGTTGTAAAGCTAATGCAGTATAACTAAAGTCTATATAAAGTCTATATAGTCTTTATAAAAAGTTTTTTTTTAAACAGTCTCTTCAGTCTCATTCTTACTTCTCTGCAAGCAAAACCCAACCCTTGCCATTTCATTAGTAATGAAAATTACTTCCATTATTTCGTTTCGGTCGTTCACATGCAAAGCCCTGCAATGTCATATTAGTGCGCAGCAAAGTACTGCCCCAATAGTTCATGCTTTTCACCGCGTCCTCTCCCTGGTGTGTTGAGCTGTTTAAATCAGTTGGTCAAGAGATGTTCCCTGTGTTTTGCTCTCAGGGCAGGAAAGCCACCCCCTGGACTGCATCTGGATGTCGTAAAGGGAGACAAGCTTGTAGAGGTAAGAGCTGTCCATGTGTAGGAGGTAAGGGCCCAGTTACTAAACCCTGCCATCTGCTCCTTAGTCTTAGTATCCTGAGTGAAGCATGCTATTAACTTCAAGTGGGAGGTTATTAATGCTCATGGATTCAGAAATGAATGAATGAAAACTGCCTTTTTTTCCAGTGGACACATGAGAGCAGCCAGAGTTTTACTAAACAAAGTGAAAGACTCCTACTGCCCTAAATCCCTTTCATCTAGAAACCTGTCTTTCTGAACTACATTCAGTGAGGCACTACTAACCACTCATTTTGTGCATGCTTTGATTGGGGAAGGAGAAAGTGCATGTCATATTGTAAATCCTTAAAGGCTATCCTAGGGGCTAACTTGGAACAAACAGTGAAACACAAGCTGGATGGGAGATATTCAGACTATGGAGTTGTGCTGTCAAAACAGGACAGGAAGCACATTGTGACTCTTCTTGTCAAAGTCAGTTACTTCTTTGAAGAAAAAGCTGGATGAGACACTGATCTATTAACGACGGACCTTAGTGAGCAAGAATGATCTCCTTTTTCTTCCAAATGTCCTTTTGTGGCGTGAAACGAGACTATAGTAAGTGCCAACTGGAAGTAGGGCTTGTTTTATCTGTCATGTGTGAATGTCATGTGGGCAGGTAGATTTGACTATTCCACATTCACTATATAGTAGGCCTGTTTTATTCAGCGTGTTGGATTTAAAGAGCACCTGATACTAGCCGGGCTGTCTGCACCCCAGTGTCTTCTGTGTCTGGGCTGTGCTTTGTGATTGCCAGGTTCCAAAGGTGCAAGACAAAAAGCAGCCCTGAGATTTAAGCTCCGAGTGCAGAGAAACACTCTGTGTTATAACTCAGAGGCACATGCCACAGAACCTCATCTGGCCAGTATCGCATGCTTGCACCGCTGATTGTGTGTACAGGTGCGCCTGGTGTTTTTTGTTGTGGTTTAAAAATGGTTGAAATCTCTTGCTTTTCACCTCTGGCTGGGTGATCTGCAGCGTGTCAGTGTGTGGTCCACTTGCACTAGTTCCGATGTAAAGGAAAGTGTGTGACTCAGTATTCTGTTGAAGACTGTGTGGTGTACTGTTACATTACCATTTGTTAATTGCAAGTGGTTTGTTTTTCGGCATGTTTGTGCTGTGCTAATTTACATATATCATTATAGCTCCCTTTGTTGCCCATTCTTTTTATCAGCAGTGTTTTCTGTCAATATAGAGCAAGATGGTGCGCATTACAAACATTGTGTACAACACAGTGTTGGTAATGCCATACTGTATGCATTAAAGAGATGTAACTAAAAAATCAGAATGTATTATGAGGGTATATATCTATTCCAATTTGCAGTAAATAGGACCATGTCAGTCAAGCAGTTAACGCTTGCTTATCTTGCAAAGCTTGACCAAAAGAAACAACCTGATAACAGCACTTTGCTGTCCTTGGAAAAGCCCCACCCATCTTTGTTGCTGACCTCTCTATGGGAAACACATTTTCTATTGCTGTCAATGCTTTCTGAAGAGCACCACTCAGTTAAATGCACTAGCAACAGGTTGCACAGAACAAGTTTATTTGTATGTTGGGCTATAGTGGCCCTAGATTAAAAAAAGAGATACTGCTTTCTACTTGAATCTTGTTTTCTTAAACAAGACTTTCTTTCTACCTGTGAGTTAGATTTGCACTAAGAGATGGGTGGAGTAAAAAAAATTGGAATCCCAGTAGAAGATGGGGAAATGGAAAGCAAAAAACTGTTTTTTTTTATTGTAAAAGAGAGGTGGCCAGCTCTCCCCATGGGTGCTGCTTTCTGTGTTTGTGCAGAAGCTGATCATCGATGAGAAGAAGTATTACCTGTTCGGGAGGAACCCCGACATTTGCGACTTCACAATAGATCACCAGTCGTGCTCCCGGGTGCACGCTGCGCTGGTCTATCACAAGCACCTCAAGAGAGTCTTCCTCATTGACCTCAACAGCAGTGAGTATATTGTCGGCAGTGCAGATATTTTAAAGGCTGTGTTCCAGGATATAGAGTGCAGAATAGTCCTGCACTCTCAGGACACATACTAAACACCTAAATACGCTAAACACCTCCTATCCTTGTGTTACTTTCGCACAATCTGTAAATGGTATTGTAAATTGCCACTGTGTAATTTATTGTATCCTGATGTTAATCTAATCCCTCTAAATCCCTGTCCTTCTACTCTTCTACCCCTCTCAACGAGCTCGCAGACAAAGCATTTCATTGCCGACAACACCGCTGCATGCTGTACTGTTCATGCATTGATAAATAAACCTCGACTGATTGGTTGATTGACCCGTACTCGGTATCCAGTCAGAATTGAGTATCTTTTCTCTGTGGCCTCATGGTCTCAGCGAGCCGGCGTCGCAGCTGTGCGGTCGGTGACCTGCTCTGCTGTTGTCTTCCTCAGCGCATGGCACCTTTCTGGGACACATTCGCCTGGAGCCCCACAAGCCCCAGCAGGTGCCTATCGACTCCACCGTGTCCTTCGGGGCCTCCACGCGCGTCTACACCCTGCGGGAGAAGCCGCAGACCCAGCCCAGCTCCGCGTCCGGAGACAGCAAGACCGGGGAGGACGAGGAGCTGAAGGGCCTGCTGGGGCTGCCGGAGGAGGAGACCGAGTTAGAGGTCAGGGGCCGGAGCGCGGAGTGTGCGTTTTGTCCCAGCGCTCCCGTGTTTAATCGAGCGTACATGCTGGTGCTTTAAGACTCTTTTCAGTGGGAATGTTCACTGTAAAGGCAGTGTCCTGTGGTTTTATTTTATGCACGCAGTGTCACCACCCTCTTTTCTGAGTGGCCACAGGGATTGTGCAGTAGTACGGCAACAGCTGCACCTTTTAATGTTTTGGATGGGCTAATGCAGTAGGATTCCACTGTGCATCTTTTTAAGAGGTGCTCACTTTGTGGTGGTGAGCCCATGTGTTCTTGTCTTGGAATCCCTGTCGGTGTTTCAGAACTGAGCCAGGCTTGGAGCAGTCTTCAGGTGAAGGGTTCTGTTTTTTCATAAAGCTCAGACACAGCAGTCAGATTGCTTATGAGTTGTGTTCGATAATGGCATATTAGACCTGCTTTAGGGAGATTTCGGTTGGCTTGGCTTCAAGCTCTTCCTTTCCAATGGAGTACTGTTGATCCATCCCAGTTTTAACCCCATTTTGTCCTGTCAAGCATACCACTTTTAATCTCCTCCCGTGACTCTTGATACACCCCAAATACTTCTCCTGGTGTGCAGCCCCTCTATTTAGTGGGGTAGACAAGCACGGATTCATCCTACAGGATCATTCACTCTACTAATGATTAGCAGATAACAGTAAATATTTTAAATCAGAATTTTGCATATGCATAGAATAATTTTTCTTCCGTGTTTGTTAAATACTGCTAATGCTGATGGCTCTAGATACAGTATTTCTTTTTAACTCAGGCAAGTCAGCCATGTATCTGACATTAACATCCGGTGTTTTCTTAGATGACATTTGCTGTTTGTTCAGCCCTCTTTCTCACTGCATAGATTTCTAGATATGAAGTTGGCCACTTTGTTCTTCAGACTGGTTTGTTTGTAAAAGAGAGAAATGGTGAATGGGTGAAATTAGAGTCCATCAAGATAGCTGTAGGAAGCCTGTTCCCCTAGCCTGTGATTGTGGCTACAGAGAGGGCATCACGTACACTAATGGGGTCACCTTTAAATTACTGAGTCATGTACCCTCTTCAGTGTGCTGTCATCCATGAAGAGAATTTCTCCTAGTTCCCTTTATTAGTGTACAAAGTTAGGAGCTGTTAGAACATCCAGATATAAAGTGCAGTTTGACTTCTGTGAAGTTAGATTATCTCCACTGCAAAGATACATTCTTGTCTGTAGACACACAGCGGTTAAGTTAAAACTCTGAAAGGGTCTTTATTCCTTCTTTCAACAGAACCTGACAGAGTTCAACACTGCGCACAACAAGAGGATCTCAACCCTGACCATAGAGGAGGGCAACCTGGACATTCAGAGACCCAAACGCAAGAGGAGAAGCTCCAGGGTGACATTCAGCGATGAGGAGGAGATCATCAACCCAGGTACAGAGTTCAGTCAGTGGAGTCGACACCTTTTCCCTCCAGTCTTTTCACACTGAGCGGCATTGTACAGCATCTTCCTTGATCTCCTCAGCATGTTTTGCATTCGTAGTGCTTTTTTGTGCTTTTTTTTTTCCAGTTGCTGTTGTCTCATGATCCACTTCTTTTTGCATCTAAAAAATGACGCTGGAGCTTTAAACTAGATCATGTTCATTCTGTATCGGCAAAACTACAGAACATGTAGATCTTTGAAATGTCTGACTGAGCCTTTCTGAATTTTTTTCCCCTGATTTCTTAACACAGAGGATGTGGATCCCTCTGTAGGTCGCTTCAGAAACATGGTACAGACTGCTGTTGTTCCAATTAAGGTAAAGATGTTTTTATTTTGGCTATTGGTATCTTTACAGCATCCATTATTTAAGCAGCTGCAGCGTTCTAGTTCTTAACCAGCCGGCGTGATGAGGTGACTGTCAGTCTAATAACTTCCTCCGATCTGCGTGTGTAGATGCAGTATAGCACATCCTTTAGTACAGAGGGTCTGCCTGAGGTTTTT